TACTCAGCACAACTCATAAAAAAAACTGGATCGTGTACCTAAACAATTCATGATACTTCATTCGTCTCTCTTGTTTCAGTATCCCCAATTTGGGTTCTAAACTAAGTATACGGTGCAAGAGGATTGGGGGGGGGGGGGGGGGGGTAGCGCCCAGATTTTTGGTTTATTCAGGAGCCGGCTGTGACTTTTTTTTTTAAACCGCCATACTAAAGTTTTGCTAGGAAGCTGTAGATTTTCATATTGTTTATTTTCCAACGTTGGGAACATCTATAACATCTCTGCTGATTGGTAATTAGATGGAAGTTTCTTGTCAAAAGGGGAGTATACCATTTTTTCTTGAGTTTTAAAAACGTATATAGTTTATACTTAATGTGTATTGTATAATTAAATGTGCATTGCTTAAACTAAATGTTTATGGTATTTAAGGTGTGTGTAGTTACAACTAAATGTAAATAGTTTAAACTAAAAGTGTATAGTTTTAAAAAAATTGTGTATTGTTTAATTTACGTGTGTATACAAAATATGTATACTAAATATCTATTGCTTAAACTAAATTTGTATACTTTAAACTAAATGTGTTTAGTTACAGCCACATTTGTATATTATAAGCAAAACTACTGTTGTTTAAGCTAAATGTGAATAGTTTAAACAAATTATGAATAATTTTATCTACATTTATATCGTATAAGTTAATTTATAGCTAATACGAATTGTGCATAGTTTCACCTAAATGTGTACAATCTAAACTATAATTGTATATTGTAAATTAGTATTGTTTAAGCTAATCGCGTATAGTTTAACCTAAATGTGAATATAGTAAGATACATATGGACAGCTTCACTAAATTTAGCATATATTTTAAAATTCAGCTAGTTTAAAAAAAAATGTTCAAGCTGAATCAGCATAATTTCAACTAAATTAACATCGTCGATTTTAATTCGTAAGTCGTTTGCGAAATTTGTAGTTTCTACCCTGAAAAAAAAAACACCGAGCCAGAAATTGTATAGTTAAGTGATCTTAATTTGTATTTAAAAACTCTTTACAATTTCTTATAAGTGTTGCGTGATGTAATGTTTAAAAAGCTACATAATTTTTGCTTTTCACTGTCTATGATTTTCTGAAGTGTTTTTATTTCATGTATTCACACCATGGCTTATAGCAGCAAAAGTCACGTATATTTGTATGTCACTGCGTTTGTTCTTTGTGTGTGTCTATTATTACAAAGGACTACAGATATTGTGCGACTGAGTATTTTACAATGCGTACTTCAATCACACAAGAAACTGAACATTAGTTGACTATTTTAAGCTAGTTTGTTTAAATTAAAATCATTGTTTAAATTCAGTTTATTCATGTGGTCAAGCTTCAACACACTGAGCGGTCAAGCACAGCATTCATTGTTGCGCTAGAAACGGTATGAAAAATGTATCGGCACGCTGTCAAAAACCCTTTATAGCCGTTTTACTTCTAGAAAAAGCATTTAAAGTTATTTTATTCCTACAGTAGGGTTTAATATTTACAACAACAAAAAAATTGGTACTTATCAGCGCAAAAGATGTTTTATAATTTTAAGCCCGAAAATACAAATACATTGAAGAAAATGTTATGATAAAAAACTTAAGTTTGAAAAGTATTTTGTGATAATTTTTATTAGTATAAAGAATCTATATTTTTTTTAGAATGCTGGTCATCGTTTTTAAATTGATCACACCCGACATTTGCTATCACTTAACTATACAATTTCTGGCTCGGTGTTTTTTTTTTCAGGGTAGAAACTACAAATTTCGCAAACGACTTACGAATTAAAATCGACGATGTTAATTTAGTTGAAATTATACTGATTCAGCTTAAACATTTTTTTTAAACTAGCTGAATTTTAAAATACACGTTTTCGTATGAATTTCTGTACATAAAATGATGTAGATATTCATACGAAAACGTGTGAATTTTGAACGCGAGTCTTCTTCGTGGAAAAAAATGTAGTACTTCATTTGGAAAATTATCTCAAACTTCAAACAGAAGTACAGAAATTCATTTTGCTTTTCATGCGAGATAAAAAGAAAAGTTTTACTTCAAAAAACAAAACAAAGGTTTAAAAAAACTTTTAATTTTATTTTTAAATAAAAGATTTTTACTGTTAAAAAATCACACAGTGCGTCATAGCTCAATGAATCAGCGACAAACGAAGAAAATTGCGAATTAAAAATTGAGCAAATCCTAACATTAAATTAAATTTATTTTATTTTTATTTTTCCACCTAAAAATAAGTGTGTAAAATCCGACATCTGGAATCGCACTATTAAAAGAAAATAAACAAATAAAGCACCTTTGAGTTAATAAAGAACAACATTTACAGAACTGAAGCTTAAAAAAAGCTGTATTGTTAGAAAAAAAAACAAGAAACAATTTTAAAAAATAATTTTGGAACATTTCAGGCGTTATAGAACTCAAAAAAAGAGCACACGACTAGCGAATGTAGAAAATGCCTACAATTGCTTGCTACACCCGACTTGTCCCTTATTCTAAAACAACAAGACACGCTTTTCTCCAGTATTCAAAACAAAAAGACCAAAACAAATGAAAAAGTATCAGTCTAGATTCTATTGGCTAATTTTTAACAAAGACTTGACCGAAAACTTCCCCAAAATGAACTTACATGACAACTGGTTGCATACGATTAGTACAAGATCTAGACCTAGCTCGCTGCATTTCTGCCACCTAGCCCACGGCTTATGTCGTACTTATGTCACGTGACCCTGGTAGATAATCTTTGGGGTTGTTTTTTAACCAGCTTCATCGTGCTTTTGGGATACTTTGAGGGAGTTACCAGCGGCAACAGTTGGGGAGGTCAACTGTCGTACACCTTCGTTCTGTAGCCATGAATTATTCTTAGTTTTGTCGACACGAAAACATCGGCGAAAATATTAGTAAAAAAAAACAACAACTTGAAATTTAAAAAAAAAAGTAATTTAAAAAAAAACGATCTGAATACTAAAACAACACGTAGTTGTATTGACATTTCAAGATTTAAATATTAATTTTTCTCTTTTGTTGAAAACTTTAGAATAGTGTAAAATTTGGGTGCTAGTTCGGTGCTCGTTGATTGCATTCACACAAAACTCGTTTTTTGTTACAACTTTGTTCATTTAACTACTTAATTAGCTTAAAGAAATAAAACACCAAAGTTGACTGAAATATAAATTGGAAGTTGTGAAATTAATGCATTTGGAATCGATAAATCAATAATTTGCAAAAACATAAAATTATCCCTCTCGTTGGTAAACAAACGATGTGAAGTTTTGTTTTTTATCGAATGCATCACAAACTGCCGTGAACACAGAAGCAACATAAACAATGACTGGTTTGTTACCAATTAAAGATTGCAAAAATAATTTTTGTATTAATAAAACTAACACACAAAAAACCTACTGACCCTAACATATGGGTTCACCTTACACAAGATGACGAGGTAGTGTAGTCGGATATAGCGGTTTAGTCACGTGATGGGCGGCCATCTTAGGTTGCTTCACTAGCAACAGTTGTTTACTGTCGGCACCAATTCAAGGCAAAGTAGGACTTTAAGTAACCCACATATATTGAGTTCAAACAACCCACAAATGACTAAGTTCAAATAACCCACACATGTTGACTAAGTTCAAATAACCCACACATGTTGACTAAGTTCAAATAACCCACACATGTTGACTAAGTTCAAATAGCCCACACATGACCAGATTCAAATAACCCACACATGACTAAGTTCAAATAATACACCCATGTCACATGACTAAGTTCAAATAAACCACCCGTGACTAAGTTCAAATAACCCACACATGACTAAGTTCAAATAATACACCCATGTCACATGACTAAGTTCAAATAAACCACCCGTGACTTAGTTCAAATAACCCACACATGTTGACTAAGTTCAAATAACCCACACATGTTGACTAAGTTCAAATAACCCACACATGACTAAGTTCAAATAACCCACACATGTTGACTAAGTTCAAATAACCCACACATGACTAAGTTCAAATAACCCACACATGACTAAGTTCAAATAACCCACACATGACTAAGTTCAAATAACCCACACATGTTGACTAAGTTCAAATAACCCACACATGTTGACTAAGTTCAAATAACCCACACATGACTAAGTTCAAATAACCCACACATGACTAAGTTCAAATAACCCACACATGACTAAGTTCAAATAATCCACCCATGACTAAGTTCAAATAGCCCACACATGACTAAGTTCAAATAACCCACACATGACTAAGTTCAAATAACCCACACATGACTAAGTTCAAATACCTGACACATGACTAAGTTCAAATAACCCACACATGTTGACTAAGTTCAAATAACCCACACATGACTAAGTTCAAATACCTGACACATGACTAAGTTCAAATAACCCACACATGACTAAGTTCAAATAACCCACACATGTTGACTAAGTTCAAATAACCCACACATGACTAAGTTCAAATAACCCACACATGACTAAGTTCAAATAACCCACACATGACTAAGTTCAAATACCCCACACATGACTAAGTTCAAATAACCCACACATGACTAAGTTCAAATAACCCACACATGTTGACTAAGTCTGGATCACAGCCATAGCATTGAATCGAAGTTCTCAGCTTAATAACTAATAAGGGATGGGGGGAGTCGTGTAGGCCTTGGTGTTCAAAACAGAGAAATATCGATGTGTTTATTATAGACCAGCTTACAAGGTTCCTATTTGTTTAAGATTTTAGAAAAGAAATATAACGCTCTTGATTAAAAATTTTTTTTTAATTTTTTGTTCTTTGAGGTAGATTTAAAATTATTTAACTGATTAAAAATCAATTAAATTGTCCGTATTGTAACTAAAAATAAACGCTCTGTTCTAATTAATTTATTTAATAAATGGGTAATCACTGTCAGATCAATATCGATTAAAAAAAATCAAATCAAATCAACGTAAACAAAAATCTTACTGTTATTCGTGGGCTCTGGATCAGTGAAAATAAAAATCTCAGAATTTGAGTTCATCTTGAAACTAAATTTAACAAACTTAAACTGTCATCAAAGTTAGAAGATGCCCATTGATGTTTTATGTAAACACACACTCGCTATCATTAAATATTTGAGCTAACTTTTCTTAGTAAATTATGAGCACATTTGGACTATTACCGTATAGTGGTACTCACACACTAAAGTAAACTATTATATTATATCACTGTCTATATACTATATATTCACATAATAATTTAATTATCTGTGATTCTATTCAGCACTGAAGTTGTATACTAGAAAAAAAAAACAAAGTAAAGAAGTAACTAGAAATGAACAACGCGTAAATCCTATGTGGCCGAAGGCTCAAGTCGAAATGAAGACTGTCCCACACAGAAGCAGGTTTTAGTTCAGTAAATTCTAGTTTCTAAACGCTCGAGTGATTGGAATTATCTGAAACTGAAACATTTATCTTTTGTCTCGCGAATGGTATGAGAAACTTCACCGAGCGTGTTTTCCGATTCTTAGAAACTCCGTGACGTCACGTCGGGCTAAAGCTGACATAGAGGGGCGGGCAAGGCCGGAGGTCACGTTGACATGTCAACAACCGCAGCGGTGTTATTATCGGGAAATAAGACAGCACTTCATACTCACGCTAATTTTTTTATACGTTACATATATATATATATATATATATATATATATATATATATATATATATATATATATATATATATATATATATATATATATAAAATGTTCGACGCACACTTAATGTCACTCCATTTCTTAAAACTACACCGATAAAAGTATTACTGAACAGAGAGATATTCTTTAAAAAAACAACAACAAAACAAACATTTAAGATTTTCTAAAACGCTATTTTAAAGTGTTAGATTATTCTTGAACGTACAGCCTCTTAGTTTACACTTAGCATAGCCGTAAGGTTAAGGCGAGATAACTCTGCATCACGAGTCAGCTTTTCTTTGCAGGGTTAGCTTTCTTAGCCCATGCCAATTTCCAGGAAATGGCTCTCGCATAGGTAATCAGCAAGGTCTATGTCAGCGATCGTTAGCTGGAAGAATCCACCCACCTGATCTTTTCCACGTAATAATTTTTATCAAAATAATTTTTTTTGTCAATGTCATCTTATCGTTGCAATCAGAGCTATCCCTTGTCGTACAACATTACAAAAATATATTAAAAAATAAAAAATTAAAAAAAAATTACGTGTTTTTTTAAATTTTATTTTGTTACATTTTACAATATACGACGCAAATTTCATTGATGCATTGTATGGCTGTGGGAAGATGTAGTAAACACGTAATGTTTGCATAAACTCAACAGAACTTTCCTCTACTCAACAACACTATTGATCGGTTTTTCCTGTGAATGTTTTTATTTTTTGTTTCAGTTACCAAGAACCGCAACTCGCCTGCACGAGATGCTGTGCTGTGGCTCAGCTTTAGTTTTCCCAGAACTCCCGGGCCGACCACACGTCTGCCCCGCACGCTCTCTCCCGCCGGCGGGTCACTGCGGTGGACGGCGCGGGCAAGCGTCTGTTTCCTGCAAGTGGTCAACCGGCGCGGCGGAGAGAACGGCTGTTACGTCATAATTAGGTCGTCGTGATTAAAAATAATCAGTCTTAGCCAAGTTACCAGAAGATAAAAAAAAATATAACTGTGACTATCGAGGTGTAACAGATATTGAAATAATTAAAAAAACGTGATAATTCGGATGCCCGCAGCTGCGCATCCTAATAAAGTATTGGCAGGTGTATGTGTTATTGAGAAAAGAATGACGGTTAATGATGGGCCGTTCATAAATAATTTCACATAATTAGATGGGATGGAGGGGTGGGGGGGGGGGGGGGCAGAATCATTTACAACAATGTTAATACAACAACCAACACAAAAATTATAACTGTGACTATCGAGGTGTAACAGATATGGAATAAAAAATAAACCGGGAGTGATCTCCCCTAAACTTTCTCGAATATTCTTATATAAAATAACAGGGAATGGGAACTCGGGCTATAGACATGATTTTTAATCCATTTTAAATACTTAAAGTTTTAAAAATAGAATAAAATCTCGTAGACAAATTAATTGCACACCAAGTGAACGCGAAATAAAAAAGCGCATAATAGTGCGCAATATTATTTTTACTTTTAAAATTTACATTAGTTTTTTGAGAAATCGGAAGTAGCGTAAAGTACTACTTCCAGTCAACGGAAATGACTCAAAATTTAATAGAAGGTAGAGAATTAGATCTTTTACTTACGTATGAAATTTCATTTATCTATCTGAAATAGTACTCAAGTTATAGGCTTTTGAAAAATTCAAAGTAGGAAAAGTACCACTTCCGGTTATCGGAAATCGCTCAAAAGTTGATACGGATCTACGATTTTGATTAAATACTTATATATGAAATTTCATCAACCTAGCTGTAACGGTACTCAAGTTATCGTGTTTACACACGGACACACACACACACACACACACACAGACACACAGACATACGGACAAGATTGCAAAATTATGTTTTTCCGTATCAGTGAGATGCAAAACGTCGAGATTTGCAAAAATCTCGATTTTTTTTTTTTTGCACGATTACAAGACTTTCTCTATACTTCGTATATACGAGAAAGTAAAAAACGTGATAATTCGGGTGCCCGCAGCTGCGCATCCTAATAAAGTATTGGCAGGTGTGTGTGTTATTGAGAAAAGAATGACGGTTAATGATGGGCCGTCCATATATAATTTCACATAATTAGATGGGATGGGGGGGGGCAGAATTGTTTACAACAATGTTAATACAACAACCAACACATCCATTGTGAAACAACTACAGTATAACAAGAAACATAACATTAAATCATACAAATTGAAATTTAGAAAATAACGTTCATTAAATCTTTATAATAACAGTACATTAAATGCAGTTAATAAACATAGATGTTTAGCTTTAATCGTGCAAACAATTCGAATGTTTTATCCCTTTATATGCCATGTTTGAGTGTTAACTCTTTGTTTACAGTTGCCATGGTTATTTTCTGACGTCAATGCTATCAAATTACAGATGGAATGGCCTTCATGCCATAAAGTTAGATCGTATCAAAACATTCAGGGTCAAAGGTTAATATCGGAACATTCAGGGTCAAAGGTCGATAAAGAAAGATGTGACTAGTCTAGTAAAGACGGACGATGACCAGTGGTCAAGCTAGGGTCCAATAGAGCTGTACTCACCGCTCTGCGGGTCATCTGGGAGGCCTTTGTGTACAGGATTGACGTCTGTTACTGTACCGGTCAGAGGTTGACAGTTTAGGTTGTGTACACGGGACTCGGGACGATGAGTGATGGCGTACGCATGTACACAGTAGATCACTGGAAGAAAAAAAAAACACGTCAAATGTGACATGACAAAAAACATGACTTGAACATTCCAGACATTTTAAAGATGTAATTTACACACGCATTGGCTGGTGTTAATCAGTACTTTGACTAACTTGGCTTTGGCCGTAACACACGCACACACAATGTATATATATATATATATATATATATATATATATATATATATATATATATATATATATATATATATATATACATGTCATTGTATAAGACTCAAATTGCATATTGTGTTTACTAAACACATTTTTGTGAGTAATAAACCCTAGGCTAACATTAGGAAACCTGTCACTCTCCAATCAACCCCAATAATGCATCACTATAAAACTATTGCTTAGGACCAAGGGAAGTGATTGTGTATGGAGCATGGGGGAGGGGTAGCAGGCATTAGAAAACAAAGGTAGGGGTGAGCGTGGAATTAATTATACCTTGATCGCAAGATTTTCAAGGACCGTCCGAGCTGTGTTTTTCAATGCACAACACACCTATGTGATGTAAATGGGACATAGCCTACTGATCGCTATTACCTGGAGAGTTAGATAATGTGTCACGTGACGGCGGCCTGACATGACGGACTACCTGAGGATATACCTATGTCCCGGTGGGGTAACCGGAGCGGTGCAGACGTTCCTCTAGGCGATTGACTTCCCCCTTCTTCTTCCACACACGGTACGTTCCCAGGCCCGTGTCTATGTAGGTAAAGTATATTGTGTCATGTGACATGCGCTGTGCGGGGATCATGTGTTAAGGGTACTGCTAGCACATGTGTTAGCTTCAGCTCAGGGTGTTCGGAGTTACCTTTGACATAGATTGTTCGTAGGTAGCTTAAACCGAGGTTGATAGTAGTGAACTTTGACCCAAAGCTGTCCCTGTCCCCACCTACACACTCACCTGTCACACCCCACACACTCACCTGTCACACCACACATACTCACCTGTCACACCCCACTCACCCGTCACACACTCACCTGTCATACTACATTCACCTGTCACACCACACACACTCACCTGTCACACCCCACACACTCACCTGTCACACCACACATACTCACCTGTCACACCCCACACACTCACCTGTCACACAACACACACTCACCTGTCACACCCCACACACTCACCTGTCACACCCCACACACTCACCTGTCACACCCCACACACTCACCTGTCACACCCACACACTCACCTGTCACACCCCACACACTCACCTGTCACACCCACACACTCACCTGTCACACCACACACACTCACCTGTCACACCCACACACTCACCTGTCACACCCACACACTCACCTGTCACACCCACACACTCACCTGTCACACCCACACACTCACCTGTCACACCCCACACACTCACCTGTCACACCACACTCACCTGTCACACCACACTCCCCTGTCACACCCCACAGACTCACCTGTCACACCACACACTCACCTGTCACACCATACTCACCTGTCACACCACACTCACCTGTCACACCCACCTGTCACACCCCACACACTCACCTGTCACACCCCACACACTCACCTGTCACACCACACACTCACCGGTCACACCCCACACTCACCTGTCACACCCCACACACTCACCTGTCACACCCCACACACTCACCTGTCACACCCCACACACTCACCTGTCACACCACACTCACCTGTCACACCACACTCACCTGTCACACCCCACAGACTCACCTGTCACACCACAGACTCACCTGTCACACCCCACACACTCACCTGTCACATCCCACAGACTCACCTGTCACACACCACACTCACCTGTCACACCCCACACACTCACCTGTCACACCCCACAGACTCACCTGTCACACCCCACACTCACCTGTCACACCCCACAGACTCACCTGTCACACACCACACTCACCTGTCACACCACACTCACCTGTCACACCACACTCACTTGTCACACCACACACACTCACCTGTCACACCACACTCACCTGTCACACCACACTCACCTGTCACACCCACCTGTCACACCCCACACACT